AGTCAGTTAAGACAGTAATTACAAATTATTACATGCAAAGATAAATTAACAAAAGGAGATTTATTTTCTATAGATTTCACAAATTCAATAAACCGAGAACCAAAAAACTTGTCAAACCAAAACGTGATTGAACGATTACTTGCATTTTTTTTACATCTTGTCTCACAAATTATATTAAGCTCCTAAAAAAAGATTATACCAATAAACAACACGATCGTTGGATATCATGTATTATTTGCATTAATGAAATCATAAAAATACCTTGGTGAAAAATTTTAAGAGTTACATAAATGCCTAATATGCTATATGCATAAACCTGTCTAGATCAGCATGAATCTAACAGATCATTAGTCAGTTTCCAATAATCCGAAAGAATGAAATGATAGTGTTTTCGCGAATAAATTATGTGCAGGTGAAATGAAGACAGATAATGCAAATAATTCGATCGTAATAAATTTGTCAGACGTAAATATGCTTGTAATTCTCAATATTATAGTTTCTACCGACATAATTGGTCCAACAAATAAAACCACGAGCATGTGACAAAGAAAATAATGATTTTTAAACGAAAATCCGATTTCTTAATGAGTCTTGGCGTAATACCTTAGTTTCTTAGCTTTAAAAAAAGACTTAAAGACCCCTCGTTGCTGTCTTTGGAAGCAACAAAAATTTTCAATCCTTTCTCCCCCTACGGCTAACCACATCTATAACGAAATTTCAATTATACTTTCCCTTCATTTGACTTTTTAAAGTCAAATATTCTTTTCTATCATTCTATCTCCTTTCCCGAGCCGTCTTCAAAAATTTTAAACCTCTATTAAAGTCTCCATAGAATTTGAGACAATCTACTAATCCGCTGGACAAAAATATTTTTGTACCTATTTCACACATTCAAACATGAAATCCTCTTCAATTTTTCTTTCATTGAGTCTCCTTCTTACTGCTGTTGCTTCGTCTTCAGCAGCTCCTTTTTCTCAACCAAATTATGGTGATTCATTACTTAAAAGACATCAAAAAAGTACTGGAAATCATAAAAATGGTCATAAAAATGATCATAAAAATCATCAAAATCAGGGTTGGAATTTGGGTACAGCACAACAACTAGTTAGTCCGATTTTTAAAAGAGACGATGGTAATCATAATGGTGATGGTAGTGTTTGGAACACGGGTGTAGCAGAACCAATTCGTAATCCACCAAATAATAGATCACATAGTCGGCGTGATGAAGTTCCAGCTAATACTTCTGGCCCAAGTAATTCTCCTGCTTCTGGCCCTTTTTTCTGTCTGCACCATCAGCGGACAAGGGATCTGCAGAGTCATTCATCAAGCTGGTGGTATTTTTGTCAGAATCGGTGTGTTGGGTATTTGGGGTATGTGGGTTAGGAGCAGGAGGGGTACTTTGGGTATGTTGGGTGTTTGGGTCTGAAGCGGGAGGGTTGCTTGG